CCCATGTAAGTCTATAATGCTTGGCAAGTCTAGATTACTTCTGTTTCTGAAAATGAAGAAAGTGTCCGGACTCCTTTTTATTATATTTAATAACTATATAATTTAACAACTTTTTTGTGTAAAATATGTTCATTTCAAAGACTAGATGTTAGTCTAACACTCGGCCTGCTCTACCGTTAAGATCAGGGTTAGAATTGGTCTTCAATAGCCCATGCTTGTCGTAAGAGGCGACTAACGTGATCCGGCGGTCAGGCTCGCTGACTTGGTTGATGTAAATATCCAAATTGCGTAGATGGATAATCGTGATGTTAATCACGGGATTGCCTGATCCACGGGGGTTTGTAACGTAGTGTCTGTATACTATATAAAAGGAAAGTGGTGCAACGAAGCCAACTCACCAAGTTCGTTCGAGGACGAATTCAACAATATCCACTAAAAATACCCCTAAAAACCTATACACTCATTTCAAGCCAATACATTTACCTACAAACTGAGACATAGATGAAGAAAATCGAAGCCGTACTGTTGGAGCAAACCCCGCACTGAAAAAGGCCAGCGATCTGATTGGCTATAAAGAAAATATGCTTACTCGGCTTACTGAATGTCACGACTTTTTTCAGTGCGGGGTATGTCATGGTCAAAGTCGTCTATGGCGGACGGGGTACGGCAAGGGGATTGTGAGACAAATAAATGTACGTAAAAGTCATTACACCATCAGATGTATGTGTCGCGGAAAGAATGACGAAGGCGGGCTGACAGGTGCCATCGATTCAACGTGTTTTGGCGCGTGGTATTTGTGTACACGATCCAATAAAGAAAAAAATCGGTAAGTTAGCGGTTCAAATTCTGACCAGGAATTTGGGCTCGTAATCGAAAAATCACGTTAATTGGAGCTTCTAAAGATGCTAGCTCCAACAGTACACCTATGTCTCATTGTGTAGCTAAATGTACTGGCTTGAAATATATCTCGTAGCTGCAATTTTTGCTTTCAAGCCCCTCTGGTCTGACCCAGACTCCAGACTTATTTACAAACCGCCGTCATGGAGCTGGGATATTGCTGATTGCGGCGTTAAACAACAAACAAACAAACAAACACTCGGCCTGGTAGACCGCAGGAACACGTGTTAAGAATTTAAATGCCCCTTGAGGTCGGGTTATTCAATATAGATCGATATAAACAGTTCCCACTCTCTTGCATACTAGAATAGGCCGAATAAAAATAGCAGTGGATTGAATGCTGCCTATTTGTTTCGGCTAGTGTCAGAATATACCTTAGAATAGGAACTCGAAACAGAAGAAGTCCTCCTAAACCTAACACCTTCGTAATAAATGGATGTACGGAAGGTCTGTATGACTCAAATTGAGAAATCATTTGGCTGTGACGTTAAGGGGTTTGGGAGTAATGTCCTGGGCCCACTTGCACAAAGCAATCTTAGCGCTAAGACTATGGTAAGCCTATGTTGAAGTATGGGAGTTACGATCATCTTAGCGCTAAGATCGCTTTGTGCAAGTGGGCCCTGGTGTGTGTATGTGTATGTACACAAAGGATAGTGTGTGACTGTCAGAACGTGACAGTGTGTGACTGTCAGAACGTGACAGTCGCATTACCGCATGTATTGCGGGGCATTCTGAAGGAGATTGTATGTCACTTTAAATTTGATCACAAGTTAAACTCTGAAACAGTACATGAAACGAAATGTGAAATATGACTCACGAAACATAGTGGACTTCCTCGATATTGACTGTCAGATATATTTGTCCGAGGAGAGATGAATCAGTAAGTAACACTGAAACAAAGAATGACACTTGTACGCACCGATCCCATTTTTATCCCCTGTAGCAATTTGTTTCTTTTTTTTTAAAGGACGTCCAGTATGTCAAATGTTGATATTTGTTTTATAAAAGATTAGACGAAACTATTTCTTTCGAGTATTTTCATTCAACGAAATCTCAGCCCAGCTCCTATAGATGAAGAATGAGTGTAAGGTTCCCTTATATATTTAGTTGACACGCCGTGTTATAACTGAAATACCTTTTCAAAACGACACCAAACCCAAATTTGAATGAACATTGTGCATCCTTACGTTCAAACTCTCTAATTTCCCGAGATTTCAATAGCACATCCTTGTGTAGTAAATGCAATGACATGGCCACCCACAGACTAACATTTAGTCTCTGAAATCTTATATTACACAATATCCTTCTAGACTCTACCGCCTCCGTGGTCTAGTGGTAGAGCGTCCGCCCGGAGAGCGGAAGGTCCGGGGTTCGATCTCCGACCGCGTTATACCAAAAGACGTTAAAAGATGGTACTTGTTGTTACCCTGTCTGGCGCTCGGCATTAAGGGGCTAAAACAAGGACTGGTCGGCTCGGAGTCAGTATACTGTGTCTGAGTGGGGTATTCATGTTAAACTGCGGCATGGTATCTCAGTGAGCTAGCACTATAAATCGGCATCAGTCCGGACTAGTACAAGCAGCCACACAAACACACACACGTACATGCACGTCGCTATATAAGTGCAATAATCTTGGCCGCGACGTTAAACCCCATTTCACCTCACCTCACCTTCTAGATTCTAAAAATAATTTCTTTTCCCTATGCTGATTTCTAGCTTGAGCTGGCTAGACTTGCTTTTGTATGCATTTCTAGATTATTATTTTTTCATAAAATAAATATAAACCACGGTCATGGTGCAGGACTAGGCCATCCATAAAGGAAAGGATATCCTCGACAAACCCGCGTTATATATCTTCTCTTATATATACTTCAGTGTGAATGTTTCTGAAGTTTAGGAAAGTGATATTTTCATTGCAGTGAACTTAACACTTTATATTTCACTACAGTGAACACAGCACTTGATATTTCACTGCAGTGAACATAAAACTTGATATTTCACTACAGTGAACATAAAACTTGATATTTCACTGCAGTGAACATAAAACTTGATATTTCACTACAGTGAACATAAAACTTGATATTTCACTGCAGTGAACTTAACACTTGATATTTCACTACAGTGAACATAACACTTTATATTTCACTACAGTGAACACAGCACTTGATATTTCACTGCAGTGAACTTAACACTTGATATTTCACTACAGTGAACATAACACTTTATATTTCACTACAGTGAACACAGCACTTGATATTTCACTGCAGTGAACTTAACACTTGATATTTCACTACAGTGAACATAACACTTTATATTTCACTACAGTGAACACAGCACTTGATATTTCACTGCAGTGAACTTAACACTTGATATTTCACTACAGTGAACATAACACTTTATATTTCACTACAGTGAACACAGCACTTGATATTTCACTGCAGTGAACTTAACACTTGATATTTCACTACAGTGAACACAGCACTTGACATTTCACTACAGTGAACATAAAACTTGATATTTCACTGCTGTGAACATAACACTTTGACGGAACTATTGTCATACAAGAGTTACCTCCCCTTAAATTGTTTCCTTTTTCGTAAGTGTCACGCCCGTACACACACTGTTGACGTCCTTTTTACGTTAGTTCCACATTGACAAGGCAAAATAATGACAGATGGTCAATTATCCTCTTATAAACTGTAAATCTCCCATTTAACTCGTTAATCAAGACTGTTCGTTTCGCAAGGCGCCATTTTTGTTACTGGACCAGCGTGTATTCTTTCGCTTCCAACAGCGGTCTCGTAGTCAAGAATATTTTTTGTGTGTATAAGTTGATTTTGTAGATAAACATACCTACCTGTATGATACAGAATTTTCATGACCCTAAATACATGTTGTTACTTTCGTTTATATTTCTTAAGATTTTGCAAATACGAAACTACTTTCTTAGTCGCAAATACAAGGGGTGGTGAACCGTCCCTGTGTGTCAGGTAGGGAGCATTTTCGCAAAAAGTATAAAATAAATAGGATATTTCATGTGTCTGGTGAAATATGTTTCTCTCATCTCGTGACTGGGGAAAAGGAGGTATTTTCACGAGTGACACATGAACTATCCTCTATTTATGACACTTTATGGAAAGAATATATAATACACGGGAATATCGATAATGAGGAGTGGAGGAACTCACGCATTACAGTTTTGGCCCTTACGGGGGAGACCTGAGGCAGCATAAAATCACAGTTTAGGATGCATCACAATGCACGAACATTTTACTTAGCAATCCAGGAGACGGTTCATCAAACTTCTATTTACCCTATCATTTACCAAGATGAACATTCTCATGTAAAACATGTTTCGCCAGCGGGATTCGAAACCGTGAATTCCGTTCGGAAGACTTACTTCGGAAGACTAACGGATGTAGTCTTCTGCCTAGGCGACATGGGAGAAATTGTAATTAACTACTAAACATTTACTGACATCAGGACTAATTGTTTATCCGTATAGGAACTGCAAAATATGTGTTTTATGCAGTTTTATACAGTATGCTACTCTATGCATTGTAGTATTTGTATATTCTGGTGATTTGGTAGCTCTCCGATCAACGAAACGAACAGACAGAAAAGAAATGACTATTATCAGGGCCATAAATAATAACTATAGGCCCGTTAACATGTAATGTTTAGATGATTGATAAATGTGCTCGAGTTGGTCCAAAATGAAGCATATGCGTGCCCGGAACATGCATTCCATAACCCGAGTCGGCAAAGAGCGAGGCACACGTTCGAAAGGCTCGGGGAACATATTTTACACATAGGCGGATCTAAATGTTGTATGTTGTAGGCAGTACATATTATCTGAGAGAGAATTTTGCCGTGGATACTGCTTGTTATTTCAACAACCTTTGTAACCGGAAGTTTTCGGGACTAATGACTATTTTTCTAAATTAATAAAAAAGAAAGTTATATTTCTGTTTTATTGGATCCGTTAATAGGAAGTGAGCCATTGTTTGGTGACAAGTGTTTTGTTGATATTTGAGTCCGGTTCGTCGGTTTCTGAAATCTCGCGTTGAGGTTCAGTGACATGGGGATATAATATGGCATGCTTAAAGCAAACAAAAAATATTTATTTCGACTTCACAGTACAAAAGCAAAATCGTTTGACCGCTTTGACACATTCACGTCTAAATTGGTAATTCATAGCTCCATAAATAATTGGATTTGCCACTGAGTTCACAAAATACGACCGAATAAATAAATTATACAACACAAGCTTGGGACCATTTAGATGATGATCAAAATCCTTCAAGACAGTGCGTGCAATGATAAGACATAGATGCGGCACGAAACTCAGTATAAAAACAAACGTCACAAGAAATGCAATGACTGTTGTCCTTTGACCCCTGTAAGCAAGAGGTCGGTGAGAGGTCGTGACATTAGACATGTCATGTGACTGAGATCGAGAACGAGGCGTTCCAGGGGTCGACGACGAACTCTCCCCGGATCTGTCTCTCGCCATCAACAGCACCATGGCGTAATTGTAGTTGGCATTCTTTTTCATGTACTCCTTGTGTCTCTTAATTTCTCTCCATATCAGAATATACAGTATCAGGAGCGTCACAGTAAATATCACGAAAGATGCACTCAGAGTAATCTCGTAAATCATGGGGTAGAGTTTCCCTTCCATGGCGTCACTGGTTGAACAGTCGTTTCCAACCACGCCGGGGATTCTCGTTACGGCTGAACGTTTACCGTAAATAAATAGGGCAGGTATGGCATACAATATGGCAACAAATGCAGCTAGGAGAACGGCCTTCTTGGAAATTGCACGTGTAATCTGTTGATACAAGGGCCGACATACTTTTCTGTATCTGTCAATTGCGATGATCAACAGGACTATATTGGACGCCAGAGTTGGGAAAGCTACTAAAAATCTCAAGATCTTGCAAGCAATAACAGAATCAAAGGTGAAGTAAAAGCGCATGTCAGCAATCTCCGTTGGCATGGCAACGCAGCAACTCATAAGATCAAAAATCGCCAAGATCACAAAAAGAAAATTCTGAGTGCTGTGTTTGAGTTTTGTTGAGAAAACGTAACACACGAGAATATTTCCAATAAATCCTGATATCATTAATACTCCAATGCACACCATCGCGGGGATAAGTGTTGTCGCAATTTCGTCATTAACCAGGTGCAATAGTTGGCTGTGATTGGCCGTTGCCTGGAAACTAGTGCTTGTGTCGTAATCGAATAATCCGGGGAACGAAGTTCCATTTCCTTGAGGAATTACAGTTGTCTTTGGGGTGACATTTAAACTGTCTCCAATCATCGCTTGTGGTTATAGCGAATAGGTCCTCTGAATATGAGATTAGTTGTATTAGCCTGCAGATCGCGATGTGTATTCAAGGGAGGTAATCCATCCACGTCATTGTATTTGTCTTCTGCAATTAAGTAAAATATGGATAAGCAAATATATTTTGACGGAATATTTCAAATTAAATAAAACAAAGCACGAAGCAAGGTGAATACATAAAACAATGCATCCCTATATACGCACAACAATGAGTGCATTCTTTAATCAGAGGGGCACGGGTGGCCCAGTCGTCTAAGGCGCCGCAATTCGCTGTGCAGTTACGTGCCTTGGGTACACCAGAAATCTGTGATCGTGGGTTCGAATCCCGATTCGCCCCGATTATGTGTCTAGGTTTGTCAGCACCATACCCGTGCTCTTGGGTTTCACCGAAGTGGTAAACATCTGAGACCTGCATCACTTCGGGCTTTCCTCCCACATTAAGCTGACACGCCGTGACATAACTGGAGTGAGTGAGTGAGTTGGGTTTAACGCCGCATTTAACAGTATTCCAGTTATATCGCGGCGTGTCAGCTTAATGTAGGAGGAAAGCCCCAAGTGATGCAGGTCTCAGACGTTTACCACTTCGGTGAAAGCAACGAGCACGGGTATGGTGCTGACAAACCTAGAAACATAATCGGGGCGAACCAAGATTCGAACCCACAATCATAGGTTTCTGGCGTGTCGCAGCGCCTTAGACGACTTGGCCACCCGTGCCCCCGACATAACTTGAATACTGTTAAAAGCGGCGTTAAGCACAACTCACTCACTTTAAAATCAGAGAGGTCAATATTAACAATATATAATCCTATGGACTTCTCACAACCACAACTATGTAGGGTGGCGTTAATAAAGGAGTAACTAACAGCCAAGTCTATGTTCGTTGTACATTACACCATTTGAAATTCATGGACTCTCATGTCATACGAACAGTGATATAATGTATTTTTGGATAAGACTGGCGCAGTAATGTAAAGATCGATACATGTGTGAAATGATTCTTAAAGGCCCATTTTAATAGTGTCCATCGTTTCCGAGAAACCTCTAATAATTGTCAAGCTTCCTTCTGAATAGAACTGGCATGACTGGGCAGCAGAGTAAAATGGATCGGCCTTTTGTGATTCGAAAGACGATGAAAGTGAATGAGTCGTACGTAAAAGCCCCATAGACACGCGCAATTGTCTGTGTGTATTCATAATACTGGTAATAAATGAGATAACAATGCTTACATTTAATAAATCAGATATCATGTTTATTTTAACAGCATTGATAATTGATATGTCTTTATTTATTCATACATGTGTAGGCCAACATTTAAATGGTCCACATCATTTAATAGAGATTTGCGATAATTAAAAGCGTAATACAAATACATTGCAATATTTCTAATTGTAGTTTGGTCATAGTCACACATTAAAGTATTAAATTTATCTAGTGTAGGATGGACATAATACTTTTCCCGGATATAGTGTTGCCTTAAATTAACATATTCTTTATAAAGTAACAAAAAGTGATATTAATTTACACAGTCAGTATTACATATTTTTTAGATCCTCAACTCTCTTGGTGTTTTGTTACACCGTCCTGCTTCAACACGTAAAGAATGCGAGTTGCAACGGAAACGACTTATTGCCGACCTAAAGTTACCAATACAGAAAACTACGGTTATAACGAACTCGAAGGGACCACTAATTTCAGTTCGTAATAACCGTAGTTCGTATATACAGCATTTATACAACAAATGGTTGGGACTAAAACTAAAAAAATGTTCGTTATATCGGTCAGTTCGTTATAAGCGTGTTCGTTATAAACGTAGTTTACTGTAGTTAAAACAAATAAATATGGTTTAGCACAGAATAACATTTTAAATAGGGAATGATAATGCATCTTAGAGCTATTAGAAATGGCCAATCCTGTTCATAAATCCATGAATTGATATGAATATGATCACACATTAGAACAAGGCCACAACGGTTTCCCAATATTCAAATAAAAACATTTTGCAATCTACAGCCACATGTAGTACAATACGATATACGCGTTTTCCGCTAGTCCTTTAACTAATCACTGTACTTTCCGTCTTGGTTAACAAAATTATCAACACCATCAAATTATATATTATAATGTTATACCATCTCGCCCTTGAATATGTTGACTTTCTACTGACCCCGTCGTCCAAAGTGTTACACAATGATCAACACAACGCACAGTACCTGCGAGATGACAGCGTCACTGTGTGCAGGATCGGGTCAAGCTGACATAGATTACAGCTATTGACAACTCACCACTCACGCATCGCTGGGATAGGTGCATAATATCAAATACCTGTCTGTGAAGCTCTAAGATATGGCCAAGGGTGTCGTGATACAGCAGTTCATGGGAGGTTTATTAATTAGCGGCGCATGTCACGCAAGTGACTCATAGTGGGTGCGTTCCTCGGGGTTGAGAATCACCACATGCCACTACCCTGTACAATATCAAGCATGGTATGGTTTACTTTTTTTATCAATCAACGTGAGGGTATAGCGTTTACTTTTTTATCAATTAACGTTAGGGTATAGCGTTTTTAGGGCCGTCGTTCCCTTTCTTTTGTATTTTTCGCAACATAATTACTGAACTAATAATACAGAAATCATTTTATTATCAAGGCAAACTATAATGTGATCATGTTTTTCGATCATATCCGGATTTTTAGAAGCACAAAAAAATGTAAGACTTCTTTCTTTCTTTAAAGTTTGAGTTTACATGGCTTACGATTGACCGTATATAGTCCTTCAAAAGATTTGTTTCCTTTTTTCATAAATGTAAACGTTTCAAACTTCAAAATAAGTAATTCAATTTATGCCCGGTAATCACTGCACTCTTAAGACAAATTACGTTGAAATGTCCGGTTGTTTCCGTGTCCCAAGAAAACTTAAAGTGCGACATCCCTGACACCCATGTTAGTATGTTTGTTGTTGTTTTGTTTATCGAAAAGTGACAGTGACATCTGTATATACTTGGCTTAAGTTTACCCTACATGTAGTTCTAGACAGTATGGCAGGCCATGCAAGCTGACCGACAGTGTCTTGGCGGCCCTCTTTAGTGGGAACAAAGTCCAAAGTTACAACAAAAACAGTTATACATTTTGTTACAGCCGAGGGAGTGACATTTATCATCCAAAACTGGCTCCCACAGGAGATATCGTTTGGATTAGATCAAGAGATATCTACACTGTAGATATCGCTGCAATGAAATGACATCGCAATGCTGTGCAGAACATTGTGACGTCACTGGTTACCATGACGTCACAATCAAATGACATCACTAATGGCTCTGCTACTTAAGCTGTTTGCAGTACTTTTTACACTGAAGACACTTCTAATTACTGTCTACAAATTGAAAAAGTTGGAAGAATGATGTTGGATGATAACAAAATCTCACCCTCGTGTCTTTTGATATCAAATATATCAACACTCGTTGATGAAAGTGGCAAAAATCCTCGGCAAGCCTCGGAATATTTCCACTTTTATCAACTCGTGTTGATATATTTGATATCAAAAGACACTCGGGTGAGATTCTCTATATACCTATGAGTGTCGCACAATATGACTTGTCACTGAAGTACATGTGTATCTCTTTACCAAATTCATCGATGCTCAATGATGTCAATCACTGGATTGTCTGGTCCAGACTCGAATATTTACAGACCGCCGTCATATAGCTGGAATATTGCTGAGTGCGGCGTTAAACAACGCATAAACAAACAGATGCTACATATATGCACTATAGCTAGACATTAGGATAACATATCCATTCCAATTAGACAAACGACAAAACTGTAACAAAACAACAACGTGTTTGTACCCAAAAATTCTTCACTCGACTTGTTTTTCATGGTTTTCCGAATTCCCTCACGTACGTGTGTCATGAGTGAAAGTTTAACGGAAAACAAAAAAACGTTTGTGTGGGCTGTAGGTGATACTAATTGACTAGTCACGAACACGGAAATACACGTGTCGTGTCGGAATACAATAGGTGTACAGCCATATTGGGTGCATGCGACGTTGCTTAAACAGGTGGCAATTCTACGAATTCCACTGGCTATGGGGTTAATGCGTGTATTTTATTATATGCGACAATCAGTAATGAAACAGCTTTACCATGGCGACGTGAATGTAATTGACACTTCACCACACAAATTTTGTGCCTTTTGGTAAGGTTGAGCACGATTACCTTGTCGAAACGTTGTATTTGGTTTGTTGTTTTACGCCGCACTCAGCAATATTCCAGCTTTATGACGGCAGTCTGTAAATAATCGAGTCTAGACCAGACAGTTCAGCGATTGATATCATGAGCATCGATCCACGCAATTAGGATCGATGACATGCTTCAACCAAGTCAGCGAGCCTGACCACCCGATCCCGTTAGTCGCCTCTTACGATAAGGATAGTCGCCTTTTACGGCAAGCATGAGTTGCTGAAGACCTATTCTACCCCGGATCTTCACGGAAACCTTTTAACCTAGCCTTGCTCTAAGGCTGTACTGAAAGATATGTCCATGGGTGTATAGTAATTATAATATGCAAATCTAGATAAGTGGACAGTCTCTAAGGACACCAGTATCTTATAGGGACAACTTGTTCGGATTGTTTATATAATTTAAAAGTTATTATTGAAACTAATGATTATTGCCTTAGAGATTTGTGCAAGTCTAGTTGTAACCATCTGTAACCAATTGAGGGCATTATGAACAAAATATGCTGAATATTCTTTGATTTCCAGAGGACTAGGGAAGAATAACATCCCACCTAACCCCAGACCATTAAAATAAAAATAAAGAAACCAAAAGAATTCATGTACAATTATTAAGAAAATTATACACCCATGAATCGTAAGTCTATGGGGGGTACAGTAATTCTATCCTTATCATAGGCAAGTCTAGATAAGCGGACAGTACGCTAGTCTCTTATAGTGACAACTTGTTTTTTATTAATATAATCTAGAAGTAAGGGTTTAAGCTAATAACCACTGCCTTAGAGACTTGTGCAAGTCTAACCATCACCTACATGTACAGTCACAAAGCACATGTACATTCACATATAATCCATCAAAAAGAAGGGCAGCTATTTTTTACGCAAATAGAAAAAAAACACCTCTTCCAAGAGTTGTAGATCGCAGTCAACGAACTCGCAAAAGTGCTTACAGTAGCGTGGATTTCTGAAACCAGCCTTATACAAGAGCCTTTCATCTTCGAGGTAAACATTAATCAACACACAAAAAATATGCCCCACGGCTTGGAACTAAAAATATATTCAAGGAAAGGAAGTGAACATTTTTTCCTCTCAAATTACACGTGCAGTGAAGCCCCTCGAAGTGACTTCCGTGTTTATAAACAATCCCACGTGTTATCTGTAACAAGACGGCCATCGCACACAACCTGCTTGCAGTAAGACGTGTATTTCATTGCGTCACGTAATGGGCTTATGTTGTGAGAAATGCGATACAGAGGCGAGGGCGTATCGTAAATGAGAGAAGCAGAACTTTATTACAGGTGATTGTAAGAATGGTGCTTTCCTGCACGTATTGTTTTAAGGCATGATTTACCACCTTGATCGTGTACGTCTGACTAGTTACATGTTCGTGTACATAATGTTGAGTAAACACATCACCCGTTAATCCGGAATGTGGATTTGATGAATGTGCGGATTAAGGGGTCAGCGGTAAGAGTAGGACTTCCCTCCTAAAACGTAGACGCCCGAGGTGATAGACCGAAAAGTAATGTGTGTTGCGTAATGCTCGCTATGCATGGTTGGTTGGTTGGTTTGTTGTTTAACGCCGCACCATGAAATATTCCAGCTATATGACGGGGGTCTGTAAATAATCGAGTCTGGACCAGACAATCCAGTGATTAATATCATGAGCATCGATCCACGCAGTTGGGATCGATGACATGCATAAAAAAAGTCAGCGGGACTGACCACCCGATCCCGTTAGTCGCCTCTTACGACAAGCATAGTCGATTTTTACTCGCTATACATGGAACCTTCTCACAGCATTGAACCTTTCCAACATAAATTGACCTTCACCATTTCAAGACCTTTTAAATTGACAACACTACACTTATTTGTTTCAACTACAAATTAATTATTCTATAAAACTGATATTATTCTTCCTTTGTTTCAAATGCAAACTCCTTTATGTTAATGAATCAACAATTGGCAGCTGTGTCCGTAACTCTTCATCTTCCCGAGTCAAGGGAAGTCCATTTTCCATCCTTGTCGAACTAGACTGAAATTTCCAGGCCCAATCTTTATATTGCAATCCACTTGTGGCTATTACGAGTTATGTCCCATCTATGTCCCTCCAATTGACCAATCAGATTCCACATCTCATATCACTTGCATTTGCTTCAAACAAAATTGCGGCGCCCTGCCAAGACGATCTGATCACGTTAATCGAAGAAAAGGTTCACATTCCCTGTCTCGGACACCCAGTGCATGTGGGTTGTAGGACAACACTAATTGAGCACGTTGATTAAAAGAACGAAAAGATTTGGAAAATGTCGGTCGACGCCCATTGACGATAAAAATGCTTTGCAAATCCTGCAGTCGACCGAAATCTGCACGACAGTCGCCATATTGTTTTCGAAAAGGATGTCAATTTCGTTACGCGATTTTGATGTGTACCGCCAACTGGCGTCGACAGATATTTTGCAAATCTTTTCATATTTTTAATCAAGGTGCTCAAGTGATGCACTTCGCGAGGTAGGCCCCGCCATTTTGTTTGAAACAAATGCAATTTATATAAGAGGTGGAATCTGATTGGTCAATAGGAGACATAACTCGTAATAGTCACTTGCGGGGCTAAACTCGAGCCTGGAAATTTCAGCCTAAGGGTGGAAACTGGATTTTTATAGTCATTTAACGCCCTTGTCTCGGGAAGATGGTCAAGACTATACTATATTTTTAAATACCATTTTCATTTTTATGTACGTAGTACAGTTGAATACATTTAAGAAGTAACGGATTAATATTAATTAATAACAATGTAATATCTGTAACCTGCCAAATCCACTCCCTCATATCCACTGCCTGGCACTTTACTATCCTCACGCACGGAAGGCGGACATATAATGAAATTATAATCGCATGAAGTCATTGCGATAACAGAGGCACATTTTATTTCCCCCTCTTGTATGTCCTGTTTAGCGACCGGATATAATCCGATACCGCAGATTGGGTAAATGAAGATAACTGATTTCTGAAAATACAGAGATCCGGAATTGCAATACATTTACACGTTAATGGACTTCATATAAACTGTTCGTTTAGCATTCTGAATAATTGATATCTGAACACAACCCAATATAACGTAGTACAGCATCTATATGTTTAAAATATTGCCGATGTGACGTAAAGCATTAACTCACTCACTCTATATGTTTAACAAGTAAAAGAAGAAATATACGTGGCTGTTCGATAGAAAACAATTTCTAGCCCCAGTGGTGACATGTTTGTTTTGTTTGTTTGTCAGCAATATTCCAGCTATATGACGGCGGTCAATCCAGTGATTGACACCATGAGCATCGGTCTAGACAACTGGGATACGATGACACGCATCAACCATGTCAGCGAGCCTGACCACACGATCCCGTTAGTCGCCTCTTACGACAAGCATAGTCGCATTTTACGGCAAGCATAGGTTGCTGAAGACCTATTCTACCCCGGATCTTCAAGGGTCTGAAATTAAGGCCCAAAACACAACTATAATATTACCATCGTATAACCATTTCTTGTTGTGTTTTGTATTCATAACCACCATCAAACATGGGTGTGTACTTTCTTTTTTCCGGAAGTTAACAACGCAGTTGTAGATGAACCAATGATAGCACTGAATGCTGAAGACCTACTCCACCCCGGATCTTCACGGGTACAGCTGATTATAAACGATGAACGGATACATGTATCGTGTGGGGATCACACGAGTAAACAGATCTCTTACAGGCAAGAACGTGGGTCCAAACTAAGTAGGTTGAATGTTACATGGATGTCATTATGTGGATTAGTCGCGGGCAGATAAATTAAATTCATCGAAAACTGACAAAAAGTATCGAGTGACAAATATATCGTACATATTTTTCCGTATCTAATTAAACAAACACACAATCTAAAGATAATAAACACTGATCAACACAGTTTCCTGAATTGTTCAGTTCTTTGTCACGTGGACATAGGTCAGCCATGAGAAACGTCATGTTTCGTTGTTTCTCGGCACGGCAACAGGTCATGTCATATTTCTTACCATATCTCATCAGTTTCGTATCCCATCGTCAGTTTCGTTATTGATATCAATAAATGTGAACGATCAACAACCACGACCTGTGCAGTCAGTTTCTTCGATGACATTTTTAATTACTTTTTTCTTACTACTTTATTAAATACATTTATGTTTCGGATAAGAAAAAACTTAAATTAACGGTTAAAATTATCATATGAGTGATGAAATATCACCAGCACGTATTGAAATAAAAATACTTAGCGAAGCGAAATACTGCAGGCATTAGCATATTGAATTTTGTCAACTCTCACATGTCTAACTAAATTGTTCGTGTCACAAAGTGAGTGATGGTTGAAGTGACAGCAAATGTGTGTTTGTATAACAATGGCTCAAACACAAGTTACAATGCATGAAACATAACGGGGTACAAAATTGACAAAGGGATATGAAACTGACGAGATACAACAGGAAGCAGAGGTATCGAAAGTGCCGACATACGAATCTGCCGAATTACGATAGGGTACGAACCCCTCGACATCACTACAACACCAACGGGGGTACAATGAACTTATTATCAAAATAACAAAAATACAGTAATAAAAAAACAAGATGACTACGTCACATAATAATTAGGTGTTGGGTAGCACTTGTTTATGTAAGTACTTGAAGATAACATCATATTTGTTTATTTTTCATGTGTTTACAGACAGAACACCTGGTAACTAACGCGCATAACGTTACTATTAAAACAACGGTAATCTTTTTTTTCTATTTGAAATTCGATCAGTTGTGATAAGGAATCAGTGAGTCTCGCGAAATCATATTCACAGCACTGGGAATCAATTGAATTTGATATTTAGCGAACGCACGATTCACAAATCACGACCTCACGTCTTTGTCAAATCAACCTGGACCACTTCCAACGACCACCACGCCGAGTGTTTGAATACGAACAACTTATCCCCATTTGATAACGTGAACAAATACCACATACCTCATTCCCTCTCGAATCGTCTGTCACTGGGTCGATTTCACGATCGTTGGGTCACGTGGGCGCGACTTCCGGTAATTTCGTCCAAGGTCAGGGACTAATCAGGCGTGTCAGCGTGTTAACAAATAGCTCTCCGCACTTGAGGTGGTCTGTAAATGAGATTTGGCCTTGTGTCAGCGTTATGATGTAATACGAACTGTGAACATATGGGATATCACAGTCTTCACGCCTCTACGTTCAGCTTTATAATAACGTTACCGTGAGTCTACGGAAGGCTTCAAGACGACTGCTATTCATTATTATCACGTTCCAAGGGTTTCTTGGAAGTGAGGATCCGTGTTTTCCCAACTATTCGTGCAAAATACTTCCGGCTGGTATGTACTGTCAAATCAGAAAATACAATTACTTTATACAGAGACCATCTGCTTTATACGATGTGAAAACAAAATCCCTTTACAATTTGGCCAAAATTACAGGCAAAAGTTATTGAAGTCATGCTGCTAGCTCTTTTAAACTCGTACTTTTTTTCAGAGGTCGTGTTGACTATATCTTGATATTTTGTTCAGCACCTTGACCCATGCTATGTCTGGGTCATGATGAGAAATCCAAAACATATTTACCTATTAAGCGATATCTTCGACCCAGAGAAATCTCTAGTTTTTATTTAAGGTAATAAGTTGTATGCTTTTTCACCATCAACAATTCGTCTCACAACATAACATACACATAGAATGTAATGTAATCTGAGAATATGGACACCTTACTCGAATCTATCACGTCATATTGGAATGAAACATCACTTGCCATAGGCAACTATGACGTGATAACCCCTCCTGAATTTGTCTTGTAACGGTGAGGTGGTGACGTGAAATGGGGTTTAGCGCTTGTATGCACGAGTGTGTGTGTGGCTGCTTATACTAGTCCGGAATTAAGCCGATTTATAGAGACTAGCTCACTGAGATACCATGCCGCAGTTTAACATGAATACCCCTCTCAGACACAGTATACTGACTCCGAGCTGACAAGTCCTTGTTTTAGCCCCTTTATGCCGAGCGCCAGACAGGGCAACAACAAGTACCATCGTTTAACGTCTTTTGGTATGACGCGGCCGGGGATCGAATCCGGACCTTCCGCTCTCCGGGCGGACGCTCTACCACAAGACCACGTGGGCGGTCCCTCTGTGTCAAAACCACAAGCATTTCGAAGACGGTAATAAAATGATCGAGCCACTCCATCATGTCGCTTACGGTACTGTGTTTGTGCCGAAGCTGGACATCCACTGACGATGTGTTGGACAGTCTCATTAAATTCATTACATAATCTGCTATTCATATTTACATTTTGATGCAAAATCACACATGGACGGTTTTGAGTGGGAAGTGACAGACTTCTGTTTCACTTTTCTGGTCAGCCGACCTCATACAAGAGAAGGACTCGGCAAGGTTGTTGAACTTCTCAACACACTGCACATAAACTCGACGCAGTGGTCGTTCAGATAGCCTCTTCTTGAGTCTGGGCCGATTTGATATTGCACTTCGCTTGGTTGACACTCATTTCTGTACCGTCCAGCAGTATAGAACCATCAACAAAAACAACACTGACATTGAGATTATGTCCCACACACCTTTATTATTATTATTATTATTATTATTATTATTATTATTATTTCAGTTTCAAAGCACACAAAAATCACATTTTATCACAACACACCACTGTCGAGTCATTGCCGTTCTCTGTAAGAGGTGACTGGCAGTTTGTATCTATTGTATCTATTTTAGTCTAGAAAAATAAAATTCACTCTTCCAGGCCGGAAGCACTTCATCAACTGACGGAATTGTCATGAAAACTGCCGGGCAACAGGAAGTAAACACTTGAAAATTGGATTTGACAAACCATTTATAGATGTCCTCAAAAATACAAGGCTGGGAACAGTCGCTGAAACTGAAGGTCCAACACTATGATGCCCGCATTCAATACATCCCCATCGAATAGCCATTTCATATCCGCTCCCTTTTAGTCACCATCAGACACGGATGTACACTTTCTTCTGCACATTGCTGTTACCGATTCACAAACGTTTAATACTTGTTACAGTAGAGCTAACCTAAATCTATGGTCACCTGTTTTCACAGTCACGACGACAAAGCAACAGCCGATCTATCAATCCAGTTCGATTATCCCCCACAACCAACACGAACTGAGGGAATATCAATTTACAAGTGTTCAAACTTCTGACGACGTCAGGCAGTTTGTGAATAGACAAAGGGTTTCGAGAACTGGCGGATTATCCACCCCCCCGTAACGTCCCCCGCGTCTTAGGATTGCCAGTCCCTTGTGAATGAACGCTGTAATGTTGTGACTGAGGATAATACATCCCCTTTGTATTATCACTGTAACCCTCGCCTCGGCGGATTATCTGTCGCTAGCTTAGAACGTAATTAAATGCCTCCCCAAAGGCTATTCCAGGTTATTCTATATATTACCATTGTCATGTTTAGAATAAACACGAAGGAAGAAATTGCATGAACTTATCAAACCTGCATACAAACCTTTTTGAAATCAGCCTTTTGTTACTGACGTCAATTGTGGGCATTTGTGTGGTAATATTGCTTCACCTGACACTATCATTAAAATCAGATCTTCGTGCTCCCTACCGCTACATAAAAATCTGAGGTCACAGGTCACATCAGAACGATCTTTCGCGAACTTTTACCGACCAATGAAATGGCTGACAAGGTCGACATTAGCCAATCAGAAAGCAGCTTTCTCGAGCTTTACGGCACTAATTTCAAACAGGCGACTTCCAATCCAGAAAAATATTTTGACAAAGTTCTCGATTAAAAATGTACAAAATTGATTAAAAGTATTTTCTGGAATGTCAAATAGATGACCTAAATCGTATAGCAGTAACTCTTACGAACTATGGAATCTATCTTCCGTTTAAAAAAATTAACACTAGTAACTGTCGTTCGGAATACCCCGTGTTCACTTTTTCGAGATTGCATGTTTAGAAAATACATTCCGAGTGTCACTTTTTGATCTGGTAAGCGACGCTCTGATTGGTCGGATGGAAGGTCATCAGATCTTCGTCCAGCGGGAAACGAGAGCTGAGATCTGATTTTAATGAGATTGCTTCATCTGACCAACCAACATCAACAGCTAAAATAAACACTCAGGCAAAAAGTGGAAGTTATATAATGACGCTCGAGTTTTCAACCCATGAGGGTAAAACCCTTATCTCATATATCTGGCAATTCGAAGTTTTAAGCAATTTGGGGAAAATCGTTATCCCACCAAAACATATATTTTTCATATTTGGACAGTTCGATCATAACACTTTAGCCGCTTTAACAAAACTGTATCTAATGCGATATCGTAATTTGACCGTTTCAACGGGATTGTATCCAATGTGCTATCGTGATTTTCCGATATCGTATTGGGATCCCTTTAATTGTATAGCCTGCAAAATATTAATGGTGCTCCGATAATTGAAATAATCGAACATTGATGGGAAAGTCCAAACGATTCTGCAATCGAAGCATTTTTCCATAAACGAACACAAACGAGTTTTCCCTCTCTTTCAAGTTCTCAAATGTTCTTCATGTAATGGACATTCTCACATACTTCGTTGATGCCCGCGTTCTTGCATGTAGCAAATCTGTTTGATCCCAGGAAGTCACGTGTTAGCTGCGGTCATCGTATCCCCGCACCCGGTTATCGTTTATGATCAGCCGTTCTACATGTCACTGCTGAACGAGATACACGTATTATATTGCACATCCACGTATATTTGTCCTTTTAAACTAGATTACACAATACATTATGTCGGTATATCAAAACATATATAATTGAATAAAACCGATATTGAATAATTCTGTTTTCTGAGAAAGGTTTATTCACCACCTTCTACATAACACTTAGCGAAAAAAAGGAAAGAGTGGGCCCAGTAGTGTTTTTTTTGGGTATGATTTTGTAAGGTGTGATCTAGTTTTACTGAACATATCAACGAAAAACACCTAAATGACGCTAGCCTATAAATTCGATGATCGATATGTTAAAATGTCAAAACACTACAAACTACAGAATCTTTCAGAGCAAACCCCATGACCAAACAAGCACCACTCAATCCCAGAGAGTTTGGCTTTACGCCGCTTTTAGCAATATTCCATCAATGTCACAGCCGTGGGATACCAGAAATAGGCTTCACACATTGTACCCATGTCGGGATTCGAACGCGGGTCTTCGGCGTGACGAGCGAACGCTTTAACCACGAGGCTACCCGACCGCCCCACACAATCTCATTACATACGTATACGACCCGTGAAGATCCGGGGTAGAATAGGTCTTCAGCAATCCATGCTTGCCGTAAAAGGGGACTATGCTTGTCGTAAGAAGCGACGAACGGGATCGGGTGGTCAGGCTCGCTGACTTGATTGATGCATGTCATCGATCCCAATTGCGTGAATCGATGCTCATGATATCAATCACTGGATTGTCTGGTCCAGATTCGATTATTTATAGACCGCCGTCATATGGCTGGAATATTGCTGAGTGCGGCGTTAAACAACAAACCAATCAACCAACATACGTATACGCTAATTTGCTATGTTATAATATTGGAAGGTTTCCTTGGGAACCGGGCGAAATAAACAAACATTCACCCTCTCAATCACTGTAGAATGCAACTAGTACAGAAACGCCACATCCTACCTGTAACCTGGCGTCCATCAACGTCAGAGAACTCCAAGAGAAGGTGAAACTGAGCACGCCAAAAGAGCTGACAGACGGACCCTTCTATGCAGCTTCCAAGCCACATTTACACTGTCTGGGTCGATAGAAGCCGCCCACACGAGACAAAGGTCGTATGCAGGAATAAAAAACCCAACTAGCACCAGTGACAAATAATAGCAGCAACCAATTATATTGATGTATTTCTCAGATCCGCAACTCGTCTAGTCATGTTAACATTTGGACATGTTCTGAACGTCATAAAGTAATGGATTGCCATGGGCATATACAACCAAATAATATCTTGTGTTCAATATATACTGATGGTCAACAGACAAACAGACCAGATCTTTGGAAGCTAATACAATTTACATACAGTGTTTGAAAGGGGAAATGCATTTTTTTAAAGTAAAGACAGTAA